GATTGTTTCCAGTCCTGCATGGACTTTGAGAAGGAAGCTGTGCTGAGGACCTGTGCTGCAGGACTCTGCCTGCTTAGGATTTCCCGAGTCATCTCTGCATGATAGTTATACAGCAGATAGCTTCCACAGATCCGTAGTAAAGGGGCTTTAATCTCATGAGTCATTTATTCATTTATTCACTCATGCATCCAAGGCATAGTTTCAATTTGTGTTCACTGTAAAGTGGCAAACTTTATACCTTCAATCAAATAATAACTGCCAATCAAAACGTGTGCTCTCCACTTTGTTCATACAAATGATGCAAAATTTCAGATTGAAATTCTGAATCATAAAATAATATCTTTAGAGCTAGAAGGGTTTCATAGTTCCATTGTTTAAAGCATTAATCCTTGTAACTCCATTTTTCAGCATAGTAAGCCACTGCTGATGGCCATGGAACTTACTCTTCAGATGAATTCCTACTGCTGTTCCTAATGTGGGGTTAGTAAATGTAGTAGCCTCATATTTGACAGTAAAAGTTTTTAAAGTTTTCCATGTGTTGCAGATGAAGCTCAAAAGTAAAGTGCCCTAAAGTTCCACTCACCAAAAATCTTAAGAGTTTTGTTTTTTGAGAAATATTATGTCTAAGAAAACAATTGATTTGTTTAAATTCATGTTAGCCTTAAATGTGTGGTGACGGAGAACATTGTCCTCAGCTGATTTCCAGTGGCCAGGGCTGTGAGCTTTCAAAGAAAATATACAAAGTGACACCATCTTCAGCTGTATATGCTTTTTGTAAAAAGACGGTCTTCAATTGTATATGCTTTTTTAAAAAGATGATTTTATTTTAAATTATGTATGTGTTTGTGAGTGTGTGTGGGTATGTACACATGGGTACCAGTGTCCAGGAGGCCAAAGAAGGCACAGAAATCACTCTGGAGCTGGGCCCATGTGGATGCTGGGAACTGAACGTGGGTATCCCACAAGAGCGGCAAGTGCCCTTCACCACACAGTCGTCTCTCGGTCCTAGGTGTGTGTGCCTGTATAATACACATATTCTTTCTAGCTTCTTGTAACAGAAGGTATAAATGAAGACAAGATTGACTTTTGTAGAGAATTTTAAAGTCTTATGCTGATTCTATGGTTTACAAAATAAATTGTATTTCTCTTGTTCTTCATTGCCTATAGAAATACTCATTATCAAAACAACTTATCTGTAATCATCTTTAGAAATAAAAGTATCAAGTCCCAGAATTGAAGCTGTAAAGGAATGTCAGGATCCGCAAGGCCTTTTGATTTTGACATGGTAATAATATGTGATATATAGTTTGTTTAAAATCAACTTCTGAATAAACTTCCTTCTAAACTCGTACCTCCTCTAGCATTCTGTAACACATGGTGAGACCTTTGGTCAGAGGACAGAAACTAAGCCTTGGAAAGAGAAACTCTAGGTTAGTGCCCACCGCTTAGCTTGGAGGGTTTAAAAAGTGATTCTCAAATCTTCATAATGGTGCTGTGACCCGTTAATACAGTTCCTCATGTTGTGGTGACCCCAGCCATAAAATTATAATTGTTGCTACTTTATAACTGTAATTTTGCTACTGTTATGAAATATAATGTAAATGTTTTTGAGAGCTAGTTGCCGAAGGGGTCAGGACCCACAGTTTGAGACCAGTTGCTTAAACTCTTGCATGTAGCCCTGCAGCGCCACCTTCTGGTCATCCAGCTCACATACTGTTACAAAGATATTTCAAGTGCCAGTTGGACCTTCTGGGCACATGCCCTTTCAGCTATCTGCTCTCAGTTTTTGCTGGTAATGCTAATTACCAGATAAGCAGTTCTTTCATGTATAGCTAGCAGAGCACTGATGTGATCCTTTCTGACAGAACAGAACATATTATTAATATCAATGTTAAAGAAAACGATAAGCCAATCTTTAAGTTTCAAAAATCAAGCCTTCTTAAACTACAAATAAAATCAAACCATTTAACTTAAAGTCAAAGTACCAGTTATGGAGAAAAACATTTTTTTGAGGATCCACTTAAGCAATGCTAATTCTAATATTAATAGAAATGTAGATAATATATTTTCATGAGGCTAGAAAATCTTTCCTACTTAATCATAAATGCACAGCCTCAGATCCCATGAACATAATGTAGAATATATATTCATAAAATAAAAGCATTTTGTGACATTTTAAATATTCATATTTATATACATTATGAATTTTCAGATATTCTTACCATGTTACTAAGCTTAAGCCCCTTTATCTTTCTGGTACATCAGAAAGTTAGGGTTTTGATATTAATTTCTTCTATATTTAGTAGCAGTGAAGACTGTATAAACTACAGTATGTAAAATGTCATAAATTATGAAAATTTCCACACAGATTTTTCCATTTAATATGGAAAGAAATCAGTTACAGATAACTTTATCCTACCTATCTGGATTCTTTTTGCTGTCACTGTTACAGATGCCATGCAGAGGCAGATGTCAGGGAAGGGGCTTTACGCTTGCTCATGTGGATTTAAAGTTAGTCATGGCGGTAAAGTCCGGGCAGCAGATTCCATCCACAGTCAGGAAGCAGAGAGCAAGGAAGACTTGTGTTCAGCTAGCATGCTCCTTCCTGTGCAAGCTGGGACCCAACATCAGAGAACAGTACTGCCTACTTTAGTGTGCACCTTCCCACCTCACCCCAGTCAGTGTAAACCCTCTTGGTGTGGAGGAGACTTGCAAATCCATTAATATCAACTATCATATTGATTGTTTGCAGTTTTAAACTTTACATCATATACCACTTATTTTACTTTACATTCTGGATTATAGAAGTCTTATGTTGTATGTAGTATGTTTTAAAGAAGGAATAGATATGCAGCAGTTAGCACAGTCATCAGAACAGGGTTCACGAACAATTCTATCCCACAAAGGAAGGAAAGAAGGAAGGAAGGAAGGAAGGAAGGGAGGAAAGAAGGAAGGAAGGAAGGAAGGAAGGAAGGAAGGAAGGAAGGAAGGAAGGAAATCTAAGTTACATAACTTTTATTCTGTAAAACCCACTATAGAATGTAGCCAGTACTACACCATGTTTAGTGATGCACAGTGACAGGGACTCATGAAGAAAGGTCCTGTTCCTTCTCACTGTATTCTCTGAATAGCAACTTAAGTCATATTGAGTTGTTTATTGACTTATTTTCTGCCCCAAGTCGACCAGAATCTAACGTCCTCCAGAACAGTGCACATAGAATTGCTGAGTAAATGCTTGTTAGATGTTATTGAAAAGCTGTCATCTGTGTTGCCATAGAAATATCACCTTATTCTCATCAAAATATTATTTAGATTTATAAACAGTACTTTTCTTTAGAACTTGAAAATACCCATATTCTTTTAAAATTTAATTATAAACAGTTTTTAGTAAGTAACTTGAAATCAGTCACTCGTATCTTAAGGGAGTTCTCTGTGGAAGGTCCAGTCATGTGGGAAAGAGAGAGATATAATAGTTCTTGTTCCCCAAGGAGACAGTGCTTGGAGGTGAACCGTACAGCATGAAGTTGTCAGAGGAGAGCACATCCTGACTGATGGCAGAGGCATCGAAGGTGGAAAACAATTTGAGCTGGCCAGGCAGTAGCTGTGGTGGTTGCACTTTAAGGATAGAAGTCTACGTGGATGAAGGAAGAGAAGCAGCGAGTGAGGCCTGCTGGTGGGGAAAATAGGAAATTTGGTGAGAGAGCAGACAAGGCCTCCTTCCTCCTCTTCCCCTCAGCCAACAACAAGAAGAAAAAGATCCACATTTGTTAGCATTTTGAGACAAGATCTCATGTAGCCCAGGCTGGCCTGAACTAGCTTATGTAGCTAGGGCTGGCATTAAACTACGGATCTTCCTGCAGCCACCTCCTGAGTGCTTCAGTGACTGGTGTGGAGTTTCTTGACAGAAATAGAATGTTTAGCTTCTACAGTGTTAACTGTGTTAGGTTAGAAGGATTCAAATTTGGTGGCTGTGAAAATAGGGAATGGAATCCCATATTCCAAAGGGACAGCAGTGAAAGCAAGTGAGCATGTGTGAGCCATGTGAGCTGTGTGAACTGTGTGAGCTGTGTGAACTATGTGAGCTGTGTGAGCATGTGTGAGTGTGTGAGCTATGTGAGCTGTGTGAACTATGTGAGCATGTGTAAGAGTGTGTGAGCTATGTGAGCCGTGTGAGCTGTGTGAACTGTGTGAACTGTGTGAGCATGTATAAGAGTGTGTGAGCTATGTGAGCTGTGTGAACTGTGTGAGCGTGTGTGAGCTGTGTGAGCATGTGCAAGCTGTGTGAGCTATGTGAGTGTGTGTGAGCTATGTAAGCTGTGTGAACTATGTGAGCGTGTGCGAGCTGTGTGAGCATGTATGAGTTGTATAAGCTGTGTGAGCGTGTGTGAGGGTGTGTGAGCTGTGTGAGCATGTGTGAGCTGTGTGAGCTATGTGAGCTGTGTGAACTGTGTGAGCTGTGTGAACTGTGTGAGCTGTGTGAGCCATGTGAGCATGTGTGAATCTTGTGAGCTGTGTGAGCCGTGTGAGCCGTGTGAGCTGTGGTATTTATGTATGCAGAGGAATGAGAAGCAAGGCTTGGAAGCCCGTGGCTTCCTATCTAAGCATGGCTCTTGTTTTGTAGCCATTGAGTTTTGTATGTCTACTTTCACAGTGTCGCCACACCTGATTTTACTGCATGCTTTCTCAAATCACACATCAACTCCACCATGTTGTCTCTTAGAACTTGGTATTAACCAGAATGGTGAGTCGAGTTGTCCATGTGTGATATAATGGAACTAACTTTGTAACCTATTTAGGGCTATGAGTAACTCGGTGGCAGAACCTTTACATGAGGGCCTGGATTCATTCCTCAGCATCACAAGAAATACAAGAACAAAAGCTATTTGTAGAAATTTTCACTTAAATTCTTTATTTAAAAGAGTGGAGTGGTTGAGCAAGAAAGAGCCTTGAAGAAGCACTGTATTTGATTAAACTCCACAGAAATACCATCTCTCTTCCAGGTAACCCAGGCCCGCACAGCCCCATGCTCGACCTAGATAACGATGTGCGCCCAGCAGTGTTGGGCCATCTCAGCCAGACAGCGTCACTGAAGAGGGGCAGCAGCTTTCAGTCTGGCCGAGATGACAGTAAGTTATCACCCCTACTTCCATGTGATCTTTCAGACTTACGTACTTTGAAGGGATGTGGTAAAAAAGACTCCATGTCATGCTTAAGAAGATTGGCAGGTAGTAAAAAGATGAAACAGAGTACAATATTCTTGAGTTTCCCCCATGCTACATGGGGCAAGGCCTGGAACCACACCACTTTGCACAGGCCTGGATGACCGAGCAACAGTGTGTTAAGTACTAAGGACCTAGATGACTGAGCAACAGTAAGTACTTGCACCACATCCAGCACTATGGTTTCTGTCTGACAGCACTGCCCAGAGCTGTGTCAGTCTTCTCCATTGCTGTGAACTGGGACAAAGTTATTTACCCACTAATCTGCCATAAAAGATCTGCTGAACTAAACTTTTGGAATCAGTTTGCTATTTTTTTAAAAAAAATTGTTCAGTAATTTTCTCATCATAAAATGGTTTCAGTTTTAGTTCTTATTGGATTTAAGAGAGGACCTAAATTTACTTTTTGCCCCTGTTGTGGTTTTTCAAATAATGTTTTGTTTTTAAGTCAGCAAGAAGTTAGGATCGTTTTCATGATCAGCTACTTTGAGAATAGTGTGTGGAGCGTGTATGAATCTGAGTGAATACTATATGCATGGGTAGAGTGCACAGTCAGACCATTCCGAGGTCTGCCAGCTTCATGGGGGTGTGGGTTCTGTCCACGCTGCTTTCACTGATTTCCTAGCAAAGAATGCATGTGGTACGGGCACATATTCCGCAGTAGGAATGCAGAGTAGTAGCAGTGCTCAGAGAGCTGAGTGGTACGGTAATGGTGCTTCAACTACTCTTTGTGAGAAAATGCCATGCAACTGCTACAGTCAGGCAACTCTTCCAGTGCTTTAGTTTAAAGAGTTTATTTTGGGAGCTGGTGAGAGTGCACAGTAGTTAAGAACCCTTGGTGCTCTTGCAGAAGGCACTTGTGTGGTTCCCAGAACCTAAGTGGTGCTTCACAACATCTGTATGGAACTCCGGTTCTAGGGGATCTAGTGGCCTTGACTCATTTCCATTGGCATCAGGCTGGCCGTGGCATGTGCATTCCAGACAACATGGTATCTGCTGTTAGTAAAGTAGTTTGGTGTTATTGGTTACTTTTAGGGAAAATAGCCGTGTTGTCAGATGAAATCTGCTTCTTGGTAGACTTGCCATATGTTGAACTAGTCTGTTCTAAAAACTGAAGGCAGAGCTTGCTCGGTCAACAGTCTACATAGTTCAAGTCAGAGGTGATAAGCACGTAGAGACTCTTCAAGCTTTCACCAGGGGAACAAATAAAAGTGTCCAGCACCCTTAGATATAGAGAACCATACCTTTTACTTATGAAAATGAGTTTAAAACTTTTCCCACAATATAGAAATGCTAATGTGCCCTAGCTTGCAGAGGCCCTAAGCTGGCAAAAGGAAGTTTCCGTGCTTCTTAAGCAGATGAAATCCTCACTCTTGTTCCTGACAGTGGCCATTGTAAAAGACAGTAATACTTCAGTCTCACAAAACCCCCAGAGTTTTGTTCTGTGTGGTCTTGGGTTTGAGTGCTTGTTTGTTGGTGAGAATATAACAAAGAAAACATACTGCTTTCATGTTTCTTCTAAGAGTGGACAGAAGCCCTTTGCACGTAATGAGGTCCCTCTCAATATTACCTATAGCTGCACTTTCTGACCCAGTGTTCTTGTGGGGTTTATTCTTAATTGTACAAGTGCTAAATAAGGAGGATTTCATTTAGTGAAAACATCAGATTTAACTAAAACACAGTAGGCAATCTTATCTGTTAGGAGGAAGCTTGTTAATTTGAATAATCTCAAATAAAATAGTCTGCACAGATGTTCTCTGTATGAATATGAAGCTCCAGGAACCAGTGATGAGAAGTTCGGAGAGCCAAACTGTGTGGAAATCACGGAATTGCAGGACTTCTGGCAACAAAGAGAACATATTTATATTTCCTTCCATATATAAAAAGCACTTGACAAAGAATTATAAGAAACCTATTCACAACTCTTTTTCAATGGCCAAATGGAGGAAGGAGCGTTTTAAAATAAATCTGCTGCACCCCTCCCTCACTGGAATACAATGACAACACTTTTTGTCTGTTTTTTTTGTTGTTGTTGTTTGTTTGTTTTGTTTTAATTTCTGTCTACCTGGACTCTTTCTCTGCTTAGGATAGGACTCATGGTATTATGTGTACTACACAAGTTTCAGATACTGAGCTGAAAGGCAACCCTGCCTAGGTATACTTTGTAAAGAAGCCTGGGTTTGTTTATAGAGTGAGGGTTAGGGCTGGACCCCAGAGCTGGTGACTGCTGTGTTCTGGCCTGAGTATGGCTGTGTGGGGAGTAGCTAGAGGCAGCAGGAGGTTAGAGAGGAACCCATAGCCAGAGCTTGTGATTACCTTGTAGCTAAAGGTAGAAGAACCAGGAAATGGATAATACTGCTGAATTTCTCCAGTTTTCTTCTATTAGATGAGGGTTTTAGTACACTTTTCACCTTGTATTTCTGTGCCGTGGATTGCTAGCTAGTCTTTATGTGATTGCGCTTGCGTGTGTTCATGGATTCTTGACTGAATTTTCACCCACCCTTATAAACCCTCTCACCCACTGCCCCAGAGTAGGGAAAGCCCCCTTCGTGTACCATCCTACCCTGGGATATCTAGTCCCAGCAGGACTAAGCACAACCTCTCCTACTGAGGCCCAACCAGCTTGTCGAGCTAGGAGAAGGGGATCCAGTGTCAGGGAACAGAGTCAGAGACCGCCCACACTCCAATTGTTAGAGGACTCAGGTGTGGACCAAGTTGCACATCTGTTACAAATGTGTATGAGGTCTAGGTCCAGCTCCTGCATGCTCTTTGGTTGGTGGTTCAAGTCTCTGTGAGCCCCCAGTGGCCTATGTTAGTTGACTCTGTAAGTCTTCTTGTGGTGTCCTTGACCCCTCTGGTTTCCTCAATTTTTCATTCTACTCTTCCACAAGACTTTCCTAAGCTCTACCTGATGTTTGGCTGTGGGTCTGCCTCTGTTTCAATCCTCTGCTGGATGAGGCCTCTCAGGAGAGAGTTCTGCTAGGTTCCTGTCTGCAAGCACAGCAGAGTATCATTAATAGTGTCAGGGGTTGGCTCTCTGACATGGAATGGATCTCAAGTTTAGGCAGTCATTGGAAGGCTGTTCCCTCATCTCTGTTCCATCTTTATTCCTACACATCTTGTAGGCAGGACAAATTTTGAGTTGAATGTTTTGTGGGTGAATTAATGTCCCCCTCCCTCCACTGGAAGTCCCACCTGGCTACAAGAGGTGGCCACTTTAGTCTCCATATCCACAGTTGGTAGAAATCGAAGCTAGGGTTGCCCCCATAGACTCCTTGGAGTCTCCCCTGTCCCAGGTCTCCAGTTTGTCACCAGAGATGCTCCCCACTGATTTCCATTCTCACTTCCAGTCCTTTGTGCCCCCCTTTCTCCACCCCTTTTCTCCTATTTTGTTTCCCCTTCTGACTGAGATTCACACATCTTCCCTTGGGCCCTCCTTATTACTTAGCTTCTTTGGGTCTGCAGATTGTATCATGGTTATCCTGTACTTTATGGCTAATGTCTACTTAAAAGTGAGTACAAACCATATGAATGTTTCTGGGTCTGAATTAACACACTCAGGATGATATTCTCTAGTTCCATCCATTTGCTTTGCCTGCAAATTTCATGGTATCATTGTTTTTAATAGCTGAATTGTATACCATTGTGTAGATATACTACATTTTCTTTATCCATTTTTTGGTTGAGGGACATCTAAGTTGTTTCTAGTTTCTGTATATTATGAATAAAGCTGCTATGAACCTAGTTGAGCAACTGTCCTTTTGGTATGGTGGGACACCTTTTTGGTATAGCCATCCAGGAGTTGACTGATTGTCTTTTGCAGGCAGCTAGGAGGAGGCTCTTTTCTATATTGGGAGGAGATTGACCTCCAAGCCCACACCCACAATGACACATTCCTCTAACAACACCATACCTCCTAATAGTGCCACTTCGTGTGGGGCAAAAATATTCAAACCACCACACTAGCAATCCTTAGGATAAGGCTGAAGCACTGTCCCCTGAGGCCTGGGCAGCTGCTCTCCCCTTCTCCGATGCCTGGCATTTCCAGTCCAGTGCTGAGAGAAGTGCCTCATCAGAAGGAAGGGAAGGGGGCAGGTCTCTGTGTTCCAGTAGATTTTTTTTCTTGATTCACAAGTGTATTCATGTGTTTTATTCTTTTACCCTTTAGCATGGAGGTACAAGACTCCCCACAGAGTGGCATTTGTTGAAAAATTAACCAAGCTTGTGTTAAGTCAGCTGCCTAATTTCTGGAAACTCTGGATTTCATATGTTAATGGAAGTCTTTTCAGTGAGGTATGTATATATTTCTGACTACAGATCACTGAATTTCTGGGCTTAAAACTAAAATTTTAGGGTTCTTTTTTAAAAGTCTTAGATGTCTAACACCTTTACCCATTTTTGCATATTTTTAAAAAATTAATTGACTTTTTTATTAAAGAAACTGGCAAGTAAATAATACATCACACACCAAAATTACCCATTTTCACATTTTTAAAGATTCATTGAAAGCATTATAAATCCCTGTGACCTTGAGTTTGTTCTGTGACTGAGACTTAGTTTTCTTATCTGTAAACATGAAATCGCGTGATTCTCTTGCTCCGCAGTGGTTCTAAGGGTTAAATGAGATACACATCTAACGAGAGGTCAAGGAAGTCGGTTTAGAGATTCCGAATCTCATGGAATGTTGACCAGGCCAGATTGTGCGGGTGTTTAATATATGACCAATCAGTGATAGACAAGGAGGAGCAGTGGCCCTGGGGCTCGAACCTGAGTTTCCCAGTGGAGAGAACGTGGTAGTCACACAGGTTATCCAGCCACTGTCTTCGAATGTACGTTTTATAAATCATTACACTTTCAGAGTCAACATTACTGAGTATATTTTTAATGTAATACTTTCAGTGTAGTCTTGGAGAGTATCACATATGTGTACAATGTATTTTGGTTATATCCACACTCTTTCCCCCACTAACTCACTCTGGTTACCCACAATAGTCCTCCTCCCAGCCTCGTCCAGTAACGCTGATTTGTCTGCCTCCCACCATCACCTACAGAGCGCAGTGAGTGTGCCTATGCACATGGGAGCTGCACATCCTCTAGGATCAGTTGCAACCTTCCAGGGACATATGACCAAAGAAAACTAGTTTCTCTTCCTCACTACCAACATCTGCCAATAGCTCCTCGACTATGGTTAAGGCCTTGTGAGTCATATCTTCTTGACTGAATTTCCGGGGCTTGAGTTTGTGTGTGTCTTGGTCAAGTAGCCACAGCTGGTGTGAGCTCACTAGGGCAGTAGACATGCATGTCCAGAAGACAACATTTCACAGCACTCTTCCTGTCCTCTGACTCGTAATTGCTTCTGCGTCTTCATCTGCAGGCATCCCAGTAAGGGCTGAGCATCAGTCGCTTATTCTTGGTGCTTTGGCCAATTATGAGTCTCTGATCCCTGCAGATGCCTGGTAAGGTTGAGAGCAGCGCAGGTACTGGCCTGTAACTGAGAAATTGAATTTATATTCAGAAAGAATTTACCCATGCCTTTCTCTTGAAGTGTACTCCTACATACTCTAGCAATTTCAGAGTCTTATGTTGAGGTCCTTGAGCCATTTGGTGTTGAGTTTTGTACATGTGAGATATGAAGATCTAGTTTTATCTACGTGCAGACATTGAATTTTCCTTTCTCCGATGTATATGTTGTTATCTTTGTCAAAAATCAAGTGGCTATAGGTATGTAGGTTTATGTCTGGGTTGTCTGTTATTTTCCTTTGGCCTATGTGTCTGTTTTTTTTGTGCCAGTATTGTACTGCTTCTATCACTATGGCTCTGCAGGAGAGTTTGAAATCAGGGGTGGTGATACCTCCAGCAGTATTCCTTTGCCTAGGATTGAGTTGGCTCTCTGGGAACTTTTTTACTTCCATATGAATTTTAAGATTTTGTTTTCCTATTGAAGAATATCACTGGAACTTTTATGGCTTTTAACAGAAAGGGGTGCTGGATTTTGTCAAGCCTTTTCTAGGTCTATGAAGATGATCTTGTGATTTCTGCCCTTGAAACTATTATGTAATTTGTAGGATTGGTTGATTTATACATATTTAATAATCTTAGACTTCTAGAGTAAAGCCAACTTATACATGATAAATAATCTTTTAAATGTGTCCTTGAGTTGATTATGGGTTTATGTTCATCAGGGAAATGGATCTATAATTTTTGTTTTTTCTTTTATTTTTGTCTGGCTTGAGTATCAGGGTAATATCAGGTTGGTTAGAAGAATATGGCAATGGACTTTTCTATTTATGGGATAGTGTGAGAAGCATTGGTTGTTACCTTGTGCATGATATAGATCTTTTAAGTTATTTTATCTTGTTTAATTTTGGTATTTTTGTTTGTTTGTTTGTTTACTTTTAGGTAATGCTATAGATACCACTAAAATTCAGAAAATCATTATGTATTACCAAAAAAAAATACTAAATTGGGGTATCAATTGAGTGATAACTGCTTGTTTCCTAGGTTCATTTGGGTGGACTATGTGTCTCCATCCTTTATCTGAAGATACTATCTCTTTTGAAGGGAGATGCATTTCTTGGAGGCAACAAATAGATGATCTTTTCTTTTGATTCAGTATACTACCTTGTGCCTTTTGATGGGGAATTGAGATTACCAGCATTTTAATTTTGATTGAAAATGTGTACTGATTTTTGTCATCTTGTTGGTGTCATAATGTTTTGCTTCTTTCCTTCTTCTCTTGTTTAACTATAGTTTTAGTGTGACTTATTTCATCCTGTGGCTTTATGAATGAACTCTTTTTTCCAAGTTTTTTCTCTAGAGCTTTGTGTCAGTTATGAAAGGTTCGTTTATTGTATATTGTCATCTGGGTAGACAGTTGTTATTTAAGCCATCTTGGCTTTTAAGGTTTCAAACCTTGGTTGTCCTAATGGACAATCTCCCATATGACCTGTGCTTCTCTCTTGTTGCTTTCAGTATACTTTTTTTTGTTGTTCTATATATTTAGTGTTTTTATTATGATCTGATGTGCTGAAGTTCTTTCCTGGTCATGTTTATCTGGTATCCTAATGCCTCCTGTGTCCGGAGTGTCATCTCTTTTCCTAACTCTGGGAGTTGTTTTCTATGCCTTTGGGACAAGACTTTCCTCCTCCTGTGCCTATTATCTTTAAGGTTGATTTTGTTCAGAATGTCAGGTGTGAATTCAGATGCCCATTAGTACCTTCTTCTTATTTGTCTTTGTCCTCGTTGGATTGTTCATCCACTTTGCCCTCAACCCCAGATACTCTGTTCTCTCCTTCCCTGATTTACTCTATTACTGAGACTGCAGATTTTTTAAATTGAATGTAGTAACTTTTGTTTCTCTTTTAGCATTTAAGTAGCTTTTCTCTTTTGAATTCCTCCTTCGTGTCATGTTTTGCCTTCTGTGTCTTTTTTTTCAGTTATTTGCTTGTGTGTATGTGTTTTTAACATTTCTGAATTTATTATTTTAAGTTCTCTATCTGGGATTTCATTTAACTTACTCTTACTAGAAGACATGTAGGGTTAATAATTTTTGGAGACGATATATTATCTTGTCTTCTTCTATTTCTTTTGTTACTCCATTGGGATTCATGCATCTGGTGGTATTTTGCTTTGTATATTTAATTTTGTCAGCTATTGAAGTATTTGTAATGTTCAAGTGGGACTTAATTATAGTAGAATTGAGTGTGTAGTTTAGAAAATAATTCCTTAGTCTAGGAGTTCATGGTGTTTGATGCAAACTCTATATTATTCCTTGAGTATATTATTAACTGGAAAAGCAGCCATATCTGCTTGCTATTACCACTGTGCAAAAGTCATATTAGCCAATTAATAGCAGTGACATCTTTGACGTGAGTTGTTCCTAGAGAGTAAACAACTAAGCATGGTATGGAGTTGCCTTGGATTTTAGTTAATAGGATTAGGAGTGGGAGAGAAGTAGAGTTGATAGGATAAGAATTGACAATTAGATCAACTTTAAAAAATCAAAGAGGGTAAAATGGCAGGGAGGGGAAAGTTGGTATACTGTTGGGTCCACAGATAATAGTGGTACAGTCAGTAAAGAGTAAAAAGATGAGAGGGTAAGGATGAGAGAAAGAAGAAAAACACAGGGACGAGTGAGTCATGTGTGATGTGGCCGAAGACTCTCATGAATGCGTTAGCAAGCTAAGTAGAAAAAAATAACAGCCTGAAGATTTAATTGAGCAGTATAGAAGCCAAAGTAAAACTCTCAAGACACGTATAGTCAAGAGTGTACTAGAATGTACACAGTAAAGAGAACTAATGGAGTGAATCTCAGGCACAGCTGCTGTAAGTTAAAGGTGAAGTTCTCGGTCCTCAGGCTCTAGCAGATTTCTTGAGCCTCTGGTCTCTGCAGACTCAGCAGTCAGGATTCTGGTGTGTCAGGGAGGGGAGGCTGTAAGTTGTTTTTATAGTTCCTTTGTACCTCTGCACTCTACCTTGGCCTCTTCTGGTCCTGTAGGTCTTGTCTGTATGAGGAGCAGCACTTCCCTTTTAGTGTCCCACATTTACCAAGTACCTTAATCACAGTGTGCATCTGTCCCCAGTTATGAGGGTGTGAAAATTATGTGCACTCAAAAGAAATGCACTTTGATCACTTTATAGGCTGGTGAAAAGTGGCATAGTCATCCCTTCATGTGTAGATCTTGAGAAGGAACAACTGATACTTGGTAGTAGCCGTGTTTGTAGGTTACTGTGCCCCGCAGAGGTAGCATCTAGTCTAAAATGCAGTGGACACAGAGTTTGATCCCTATTGTCATATCCGCCATTAGGATTATCCCTGTATTTAAAATGACATTGGCCTGGCACATATAGGTGTAAACAAGATTTAGTAGCATTGGAAAGTAGTAGACTGATGAACTTCTACAGTAGCACAAAAGGATGTCAAGGCAGATGAATGCACATGAAAAGCGAGTCCCATAGAAAATGGGCTAGAAGTGCCATGTTCATTATTTCCACCCAAGTGGTTTTTCTGGTCATTTTGGGCCTGCCTGCTTCTGTCTGTCTGTCTGTCTGTCTGTGTCTGTCTGTCTGTCTGAAGACAGGATTTCTCTGTGTAGTGCTCTTTAGACCAGGCTAACCTTGAACTCAGAGAGATCGACCTGCCTGAGTGCTGGGATTAAAGGTGTGCACCACCAGCACCTGGCTGGATCATTTTTTTATAGGTGGCAAATATCAAATGCAGAGTACTTGCTTCATTTCTTTCTAGAGTCATGAAGCTGACAAATGCTTTTGATCTTTCCTATCTCAGTTAAAAGAGAATATACTTCTTTATAGATCCTTCATAGTTAGAGTAAATATGTAAATATGTGGTTATAGAAAAAACTCTGCATGTTTTTAGAGTATTTATTCTACTGAAAAGCTTAAAAGCCACCACTGAAAAGTTGCAAGAAGCAGAAGAGTTAGAAAATTTACCCACTTAACCAGTCTATGAGTGAAACAAGAAAGTTCATTAAGTGGACATTAGAAGAAGGCGCTTTAGATAATTGATATAAGAGAGCTTTAAACACTGTTCACTTTAAATGTCCTTTTATTTCTAAATTGTAGAACTGTCTTATTAAGAGCTCAGCTTTGCAAGTTTCTTACAGTTTAAACAATAGTCCCTTCTTTAAGCTATTTGGGCCCATGTGAATCAGAACAGTGAAATCGGCCGTTGGGCTCACCACAAACTGGTTTTGGTCTGATTATGCAGGAAAGAACTGAGGCTTTAGTTAACGAAATGGTTAATAATAATGTCTCACCTGTAGGTGTGCGTCAAACGTAGTGTATTTTAAAGTATCAAATAATTCTTATACATTAGGAATCAGCATTTTAAAAGTTTCAGAGCTTAAAGCACATTTGAGTGTTATTAAAGGTTAAAAAGTTTGATTTTCTTTTAAATAGGGCAGACCTTATGAACCCTTTGTATTTTTGTCTTGGGATTGCTCAGATATGTAATATCAAAACCATCAGAAACTGTTGCTATCATATAAAACTCTCAGCCATCTGCTCTCTATTTTATTGACATTGGGTCTCCAGAAAAGAGCTCTACCAGGCTTTTTAGAATATCATAGCATGGCATGGCATATCATGGCTTGACATGACATGGCATGTCATTGCATAAGCATACAAGCATAAACATATGCTTAGCATAGAATGCTCCACCCTGGTGGCTGGGCAGTCTGTCACAACAAGACTTGATATCTAGGGGATTTTGGAAGGCATTTAGATCAGAACAGGTTGAAGGTAGAGAAGCTTTTGAAGCATGTTCAGAATAGTATCCTAACTACAGTGTGCCAGGCACAGATGCACACACACACATATATATACATACTATACATGTACACACACATAGTGCATGCATAAATCCATTCTAAAATACTCAGATATATAAATATAAATATAAATATAAATATAAATATAAATATAAATATAAATATAAATA